CCTTTACATACTACCACACCGATCGTGGGAAACCACCAAGGGCAGGGATTTATTCTGTTAGCCACAAGCAACAAAAAAAAATCCACCCCCAGCCAAAAAACAGTGCCTGTTCAGTAGATGCTCAGTAAAATTTTTTAAAAATCTCAATATGAATTTGAAAGCACTCTGTTCAACATCTTCTACTGGCTGCCTTACCAGTTGTCAGAATGGTTTCTGCCCGTCATTCCATTTTCTACCAACCAACCCTTCAAATACCATCTTTCTCACTCTTTCTTTAAACATTTTTTTAAGTTTATTTATTTATTTTGAGACAGAGACAGTGTGAGTAGGGAGGAGCAGAGAAAGAGAGAATCCCAAGTACAAGACTGTTCAGAGTCTCAATGGTGGGGTCAACTCAGAAACTGTGAGATCATGACCTGAGCTAAAACCAGAATCGAGGCTTAATCGACTGAGTCAATCTGCGGCATTTCACTTTCCTCTCCTTAAATGAGATCATCACCTCCTTCCACAAAAACTTCTCCAAGTCGGGCCAATTTGTCTTTAAAAATAACCTAGAAAAATAGAATGGTAATTGGGTTGGTATAGTAGGAAGATAATGGGTAACATTTTTTTTTAAACAATTTATTGAGATAGAGTAACTCACATTCCAAAGTCATTCGCTTAAAAGTAAGTACATACGCCTGACTTTCGGGTCAATATGATTCTTAGTTCAGAGTTCGACCATCGCCGGGTCGGCCGCGACAGCCAAAAGCCTGAGTTCGTTTTTCCAGATTCTGTATGTTTCTTCTTCTCTCTCTGCCCCTCCTTGCTTTGTACTCTCCCTTTCAAAAATAAATAGTTAAAAAAAATCTTTTTAAAGTATATAATTCATCGCTTAGTATGTTCAGATATGTGTAACCATCACACATAATTATTTTTCATCACTTCAAGAAGTCCTCTACCCTTGAATTTGTGCCCCTCCCCCTTTAAACTCTGTTTCAAGCAACCACTGATTCATTGTGCTTCTATAGATCTCCCTATTTTGACTTCCAGGAATGAGATCATATAGTATGTGGTCCTTTTATGTTGGCTGGGGTACTGTCTTCTCACTAACATAATGTTGTTCATCTGTGCTGGAAAGTGCCATGGTGGCTACATATATAGCTTCTCATTCTTTATTGAGTTTTTTTTTTTTGTTCTTTTTATGTTTATTTATTTGAGACAGAGAGAGACAGAGCATGAATGGGGAGGTCACTGGAGGGAGTAGAGGAGACAGCAGGGCTCCAGGCTCTGTCAGCACAGCCTGTGACGCGCCTGAACCCACGACCGGGTGAGATCACATGACCTGAGCCGAAGTCGGCCGCTTAACCGACTGAGCCACCCAGGCGCCCCAGTACTTCATTCTTTTATATGGCCAAAGAATATCCTGAGAATCCAGGGCATTACCTTTAAAGATGAATGCCACTCTGCTCTAAAAACTATTTGGGTAGTAACTTGGAATGCTTTTTTTTTTAAATAATCTTGAGTCATTTTATTTGTTTTATAAAGTAAAAGTAAAGCCCAACATGGGCTCAAACCCACAACCCCAAGATCAAGAGCTGCACGCTCTACCAAATGAGCCAGCCAGGCCCTGCCGCGCTGCACACCCCCCACCCCGCCCCCCAAGTAACCTGGAACTTTAAGAGAGTCCTCCCACAACCCGTAACCTCTCTTCCCCCTCTGAGTCAGCGACTGTCCTCACTCCTGTTTCCTATGACTACTGCACATCTATAAAAAGTTATCTATATTCACATCTCATTTAGT